AGAAGTGTAAGGGGTAGACTCTTAAAATGCATAATTACAAAAACAAAGGGACCACAATGCATGAGAGATGGCAACACAACCAGCTGAAAGGTACCTGAAAACCAGAGTAAACCATTATCACTGGGCACCTACTGCAAAGCTTGTCCTGCCTGTGTAGGAGATAGGGAATAATCCTCCAGCCCTGCAGTTCTTGGCTGGATGGACAGACAGATGGAGTTACTGCATGTCACAGTGGGACTCATAAGCAAAACGATGTTCAAAATCATAGAATCATAGAATCACAGAATAGTTAGGGTTGGAAAGGACTGTAAGATCACCTAGTTCCAATCCCCCCTGCCATGGGCGGGGACACCTCACACTAAACCATGTCACCCAAGGCTCTATCCAACCTGTCCTTGAACACTGCCAGGGATGGAGCATTCACAGCTTCCCTGGGCAACCCATTCCAGTGCCTCACCACCCTTACAGGAAAGAATTTCCTCCTTATATCCAATCTAAACTTCCCCTGTTTAAGTTTGAGCCCGTTAACCCTTGTCCTGTCACTACAGTCCCTAGTGAAGAATCCCTCCCCAGCATCCCTATAGGCCCCCTTCAGATACTGGAAGGCTGCTATGAGGTCTCCATGCAGCCTTCTCTTCTCCAGGCTGAACAGCCCCAACTTCCTCAGCCTATCTTCATACGGGAGGTGCTCCAGTCCCCTGATCATCCTCGTGGCCCTCCTCTGGACTTGTTCCAACAGTTCCATGTCCTTTTTATGTTGAGGACACCAGAACTGCACACAATACTCCAAGTGAGGTCTCACAAGAGCAGAGTAGAGGGGCAGGATTACCTCCTTTGACCTTCTGGTCACACTCCTTTTGATGCAGCCCAGGATACGGTTGGCTTTCTGGGCTGTGAGCACACACTGAAGCCGGCTCATGTTCATTTTCTCATCGACCAACACCCGCAAGTCCTTCTCCTCAGGGCTGCTCTGAATCTCTTCTCTGCCCAACCTGTAGCTGTGCCTGGGGTTGCCCTGATCCAGGTGTAGGACCTTGCACTTGGCATGGTTGAACTTCATGAGGTTGGCATCAGCCCACCTCACAAGCGTGTCAAGGTCCCTCTGGATGGCATTCCTTCCCTCCAGCGTATCAACCCAACCACACAGCTTGGTGTCATCGGCAAACTTGCTGAGGGCGCACTCAATCCCACTGTCCATGTCAGCGACGAAGATGTTGAACAAGACCAGCTCCAACACCGATCCCTGAGGGACACCACTCGTTACTGGACATTGAGCCATTGACCACAACTCTTTGCATGTGGCCATCCAGCCAGTACTTTATCCACCGAGTGGTCCATCCATCAAATTGATGTCTCTCCAATTTAGAGACAAGGATGTTGTGTGGGACAGTGTCAAATGCTTTGCACAAGTCCAGGTAGATGACATCAACTGCTCTACCCCTGTCCATCAGTTCTGTAGCCCCATCCTAGAAGGCCACCACATTGGTCAGGCAGGATTTCCCCTTAGCGAAGCCATGCTGGCTGTCACCAAGCACCTTGCTGCTTTTCACGTGCCTTAGCATGCCTTCCAGGAGAATCTGCTCCAAGTTTTTGCCAGGCACAGAGGTGAGACTGACTGGTCTGTAATTCCCCAGGTCATCCATTTTCCCCTTCTTGAAAATGGGGGTTATATTTCCCTTTTTCCAGTCATCGGGAACTTCACCCGACTGCCATGATTTCTCAAATATGATGGACATGGTTTAGGAACCTCATTTGCCAGCTCCTTCAGGACCCGCAGATGGATTTCATTAGGTCCCATGGACTTGTGCACATTCAGGTTTTTAAGATGGTCTCAAACCAGATCCTCTCCTACAGTGGGCTTAGGGTCTTCATTCTCATAGTCCCTGCGTCTGCCTTCCAAGACTTGGGTGTTGTGGTCAGAGCCTTTGCCAGTGAAGACCAAGGCAAAGAATTCATTCAGAACCTCAGCCTTCTCCAAATCCAGGGTACCCAGTTCTCCTGATAGCTTCCAGAGGGGGCTTGTGTTGTCCCTAATCTGTCTTTTATTCACTACGCACCTATAGAATCCCTTCCTGTTATCCTTAACATCCCTAGCCAAGTTTAATTCTAACTGGGCCTTAGCTTTCCTAACCTGGTCCCTAGCTTCCCGGACAACATCCCTGTACTCTTCCCAGGACACCTGTCCTTGCTTCCACTTTTTATAAGCCTCTTTTTCCATTTGAATTTTCCTCAGCAGCTCCTTATCCATCCAAGGACATCTCCTGGCCCTCGTGCTTCACTTCCTTCTAGCTGGGATGCAACACTCCTGAGCTTGTAGCAGGTGATCCTTGAGTATCAACCAACAGTCTTGGGCCCCCCTGCCCTCTAGGGCTGTATCCCATGGAACCTTACTAAGCAGGTTCCTGAAGAGGCCAAAGTCTGCTCCCTTGAAGTCCAGGGCAGTGAGTTTGCGGCACGCTCTTCTCACTGTCCTGAGGATCTCAAATTCAACCATCTCATGATTGCTGCATCCAAAGCTGCCCTGGAGCGTCACATTTCCAATGAGCCCTTCCCCTGTTGGTGAGCACGAGATCAAGCATGGCACCTCTCCTTGTCGGCTCCTCTGTTACTTGCATAAGGAAGTTGTCTTCCACGCAATTGAGGAACCTCCTGGATTGCTTGTGCCAGGCTGTACTGTCCTTCCAACAGATGTCAGGGTGGTTGAAGTGAGGCAAGAGGCGTGAGGCTGTTCCTATCTCTCCGTAGAATGCTTCATCCGCAGGTTTTCCTTGATCAGGCGTTCTGTAACAGATCCCCACAGTAATGTCTCCCATAGCTATATTCCCTTTAACCCTCACCCACAAACTCTCTGTTGACTGCTCACCTGTCCCCAGACAGAGTTCCATACTCCCCAGCCTATCCCTAACATAAAGGGCAACTTCCCCTCCCCGCCTGCCGGGCCTGTCTTTTCTAAAGAGCTGGTAACCTTCCATTTTAATACTCCAGTCATAGGAGTCATCCCACCATGTTTCTGTGATGCTTGTTATATCATACTCCCGTAGACGTGCACACATCTCCAATTCCTCTTGTTTGTTCCCCATGCTATGGGCATTTGTATAGAGGCATCTGAGCCAAGCTCCAAATAAAGCCAGCTCATTGGCTGGAGTGGCTGGAACATCTCTACATTGCTTCGAGCATTTACTAGGGGTGCTGGCAACTGACTGGGTGTGTTGGGAAGGAACAATGCCCCCCTCCCCCAACACATCTAGTAAAGCATCCTTGACCAGTCTGGAGATGTCTCTCTCAGAGCCATCCATCTGTGGGTCCTGTTAATAATTGGAGTGAGATAGGTGCTTTAGAATCTGGTTCTTCTGATGTCTATCCTAGTCACTTAAGCTTGGTTGTCTCTGGGCTGAGCCCATAGGTCTCTGGGTTGAGCTGCCCCTAGGTCCTGGTTTGCTTGCCTGTCAAATACACGCTCTTCCTTGTGGCAGCTCTCACAGATGACTGTACCCAGGTACTGCATGCCAGGTTGATAACAGCATGGGACTCCAAAAATGGATAACGAAACCTGTCATCCACAGAGACAACAATTCACAGCAAGTTTGTGTGATGGTGGTGGCTCACACATTCAGCCCAGTCACACAAACTAACTTCCACACAGCTCCTCAAATCCTTCCCCCTGCACTCAGGGTTTCTCCTATATCCGTGTCCCGGGTTCAGCAGTAGCAGTCATTTTTCTCCTTCTTATTAGCTGGTGCACTGCTGTGTTTTTGACTTTCAGCCTGGGAACAGCACTGATAACACCAATGGTTTTAGTTGTTGCTCAGTAATGTTTACTCTGACCAAGGACTTTCTGAGTCTTGTGCTCTACCAGGGAGGAGGGGAAGCCAGGAGGAAGCATTGACAGGGCACTTGACCCAAACTAACCAAAGAGGTATTCCATACCACAGCACGTCATGCCCACTATATAAACTGGGGACAGTTACCCAGAAGGATGAGATCACTGCTTGAGTCGGGCTGGGTAGCAGTCGGCAGGTGGTGAGCACTTGTATTCTCTTCCCTTGTTATTTCCCTTATCATTATTATTATTGGTGGCAGCAGCAGTGGTTTGTGTTACACCTTACTTACTGCACTGTTCTTATCTCAACCCATGAGAGTTACATTCTTTCGATTCTCCTTCCCATCCCTCCCGGAGAGGGAGGGAGGAAGTGGAGGGAGTGAGCGAGCGGCTGCATGGCTGAGTTGCTGACTGGAGTTAAACCACGACAATCCATCAAGACTGGATATTGCTATGATAAACAAAATGGTATAATAAATTAATATGTTTTACAGCCTTTCATATTGTAGAGAGGTGTAGAGCACCTTACCATATCCAAGACTCAGGTCTTCAGACAGATGTATCATACTTGTGCCATTTTTCATGTGTGCCCCATGTAAAGTAATAGAAACTAGCTTGCTCTTTACACTGTGTACACGCAATACTTACATATTAAAGGAACATTATACAGTATAGAGGAGCAACAAGACATGTTTTGTTTTAAACATCTATAAAACCAACATTCTTGCAACTAATTTATTAATTTATTGTATTAGTAGTTTAAAGTAGATACTGTTATTGCTAATCAATATCAACACACAATGAATTTAAATTTTCACATTTATTAAAAAAAGGGAGAAGAAATGCAAAAACAGCATTAGTAGGAAATTTACCACCCTTAAAGAAGAAAAAATGGACAGACATTTTACATGGAAAGGACAATTCAGGCAATAAACCCTGTTCCCCATTTATATCAATTATAAATTTAAAGATTGGCTGGAATATGGAAATCTTTGGAGGCTAGGGATATTAAAAATATGCAGAATTGTCATGCACTGCTCTTAAAAAATAAACTCCAAACCTGTGCAGAATGGTGGAGAAGATAAGCATTTGCAGTCAGGTTGTTGATCCAAAGAGAGTAATTAAAGAAGGTGAGGTCTAAACTTGTCAAAGTCATTTTGCCCTACTTTCCTATTTATAGGTTTCAAAATGGAAAAAGCCTTCAAAAGGATTTGCATCCTAGCTTCCCTCTGTAAGATCCTTCTGCAAGAGATTTGAGAATTAGCTGCTGTGCCTGCAGTATATTAAAATCTTTGACAGCCATCCACTTGGGGAATCCCTGGTAAAAAAAGAAACAACAGAAAAATAACCACCTCATTTTGCTTCAAAAGGTTCACAGTATCACTTGAAAGTGGAGAATAAATCACCATTCTTGATAATTGTTCCTAAGGCTTATCCATTCTGTGGGGTCTTTCCGTGGGAAGAGATACTGTGTTCAGCTCTGTGGCACCCAGCGTAAGAAGGACATGGACATGTTGGAGCAAGTCCAAAGGAGTCCATGAATATGGTCAGAGGGTTGGAGCACCTCTCTTACGGAGACAGGCTGAGAGAGCTGGGCTTGTTCAGCCTGGAGAAGGGTACCTAAAGGGGTCAGCAAGAAAGCTGGAGAGGGGCTTTTTACAAGAGCATGTAAGGATCAGACAAGGGGGAATGGCTTTAAACTGACAGAGGGGAGATTTAGATTAAATATTAGGCAGAAGTTCTTCCCTGTGAGGGTGCTGAGGTGCTGGCACAGTGTGCCCAGAGAAGCTGTGGCTGCCCCACCCCTGGCAGTGTTCAAGGCCAGGTTGGACAGGGCTTGGAGCAACCTGGTGTGGTGGAAGGTGTCCCTGCCATGGCAGGGGGGTTGGAACTGGATGAGCTTTAGGGTCCCTTCCAATCCAAACCATTCTGTGATTCTATGAGATGTGTGGCCAGGCTGGAGGTGCAGCCTCCTGTACCTTGTCCAGCTTACCTATTGCCAGGGGTTGCTAAGGGGTTTCCCTGCTCTTCAGCCACAGGCCACAGCAGGGAGGAAAAAGGAGGGCCATTTCTTTCTCCCTCGGTATGCTTTTTCACCCTCAGCACCACAGCCAGCAAACCTGAGCAGGCACTGGACAAGTGCTGTAGGAAAGGTAGAGAGGAGGAGCTCTCAACAGCTCTCACAGAAACTTGTTTGAAAAGACAAAAGACAGATAGCTGCGTTTTGCTATTGTTAAGGAAAATAAAACAGTTTGGGTGAAATTTTCTCTACTTTTAACTGCACTATAATTTTAAACCTTCTTTAAACTCACTATAAATATGTTGATAGAAAAGTTTTACATGAAAAAGAAAACCAGTTTTCAGTCTTGAAAGCAAAAAAACTGTACATTTTTGTTTTTCAGTATTTTTAACAAACCCCAGAAAAATCCATCTGGAAAACATTTAAAACTGCAATCCTTATGGGAAAAGAAAAAAAAATAAAAAAGGAGAAATATACTAATTCAGTACAAATTGCTCAGCTGCTACATTCTCAGCTACAAAAAAAAATCCTGTGCTTGTTCCTTTAAACATCAGGTTTTCCACTTACCATAAAAAAGAAGTTTTCTTTGAGCAGTTCTCCAACAGAACAGATCTGCGCTTTTAAAATTGGCAACTGAACCCTACTTTGCTCTGTGACAGAGCAGTTAAATGCAGCCTCTGGCTTAAAGTATATGCTTACGCCACACAGGCAAATGAAATATTCAGTGAGTACACAGGTGTGTGCTGTCAGGAACACTACATTATCTGACAACGTAACTTTGCATTTCCACTTTATTATTATCTTTTAGCTTCCTTTGTTAGGCCATATAAAGTTAGCTAACTCCAGTATCACAGCTGTGTAAGCAGACACTATGGAAAGGACAGCAAAAGTGATGAAAATGAAAATAATTTTGGCAAGCCAAGAAAACTGCTGACTCATGTTCTAAACTATTGTGATTGTTTGGAAAAATAAGTCAGTGAATGATTTTGTTTCTCACTTACTCACTCAAACTTCCAAGCTATTATTAAGAAGTTTAAATGTTTCTTATCATGAGGATTAAAGGTGAGCTGTCATGGTATATATAATAAAAGAAATTGTTTCTACATTGGTACTTTACAATCCCAAGGGATGAGTGATGCATAATGAAATGTGGGGTTTTAGGCCCACAGTGATCTTGCTGTAGGAAACGATGAGGAAAGTGTAATCTAGATAATTAAAAATAAGTACTAGCAGAAACAGAGTCCAGAGACAATCAAAACTTGACCAGGAGAAACTAGATGGGCTGGATGCTTCCTGTCTGTTTCACTGTTTCTGATTTTGTGAATCAGATTTTTAGCTGTGTAACATGATGCACGTGCACCCACAGTCAAGAGCAAGCTGGTTTGCAACAGCTGAACGTTTAGTCCACCAGCTTTATGACATTCTAAACTCCTTTTAGTTCTCCCTTTTTTCCTTTCCTATCACCCTTTCAAAAGAGCATTCATCCCACAACACCTTATCTACAAAGGGTTCTGCAGAAGATATGACCCTGCAGCTTCTTGAATGTCCTGGGAGGAAAGGCTGGCTGACTTGCTTGCCGCTGTCAAACTGTTTTTTCTTCTTTGACTCATAGCCTAAACTATCTAAGTGCAAAACCCAATGCTTTAGAAAAATAAAACCCACTCTCCATTATGTACTGATGTCTCTAATAAGAGATATCTTCAGACCCAGTCTCTTCATCTTCCGTTTTAAATGGGTCTTCAAATGACATCCTCACTTGCTTCCTCTGCATTGCTCCCACCACTTCCTCACCTGGTTTGCAGAGATGCAGTCACTGACTTCACAAGCATCCCACATCCCTGAAATCTGGCCATTAAACACAATACCCCAAATATCACAGGTATCCTGACTCAGGAGCCAAAGGCTCTGCAAGAGGATATAGTGACATATCAGTGGTAATTGTTCTGACAAGGACCCTCTAAGCAGTGTCATTGGAGGTGACAGTCACTGGCAGTCTCCAGCTTAGCAGCAAGGTCAGCGGGGAAATGCAGTTTCCACTAATGCTGCCAGGCAGTAGCCATGCACAGTGCAATTGTAGACAAATCTTTCTGTCCATGGGCAGTTCCTGAGGGACCACCACCTTAGGGGCAAGAAATAGCAAGAAGAGTGACAGGTAAAGCAAAATACTTAAAAATGCCTGTATTTTTCCTCCTCAAAAGAAAAACAAAAAAAAAAAAGAAAGAAAAATAGAGAAAAGAAAAATGGCACAAAGAAAGGAGAAAGGGTTTGATTAATTTTTTATGAAATTTGCCTGCTAAGGAACTGGCAAATCCATGGGCCAGAGCAATCAAAAGTAGGATGGAGACCTCCCTCCAATTCTATGGCTTGTCCTGTCCTGCAGAAGCAAGGCTCACCACTCCTGACACTTGCAAGCAAATAGCTGGGGAAAATTGCCCTTTCTCTGCTCTGGAACTGAGCACAACCCCGTTGCACTTTGCACACCCAGGAACTTGGTGTCTGCCTCCTATTGCAACAGTCGGTGAAAGAGACATTCATTTGGAAAGAGGATACTCTGCAAACTGGTATGCAAATAAAAGCCATCAGCAAGGAGATGCAGCAGATACACATAGGGGCTCACACACATTGTGCTCTCAGTAAGTTCAGCATTTTACTGACCCAGCCTTCCCTGGAGGTACCACTTACCCAACAGGTGATGTTTGACTCAGTGGTGTGACAATGTGCTAGAAATAGGAAATTCATATCATTTGTATTCCTTTTCCTCTGCTATTCTAAGGGTTGAAAGGGCCACCATTTTAAATTTAATTTACAGGGTATACCGTCTATCTGTTGGAAACACGAGGAAGCAGACCTTGTCCTAGTATTTATCAGACACATGCCGCCCATCTGCTTGAGCTGGGTCGAGGAGGATTTGCTGTTAATCCTTCAGACCCATCTGCAGGGGGTTCAAAATGCTGACCAGAAAGCTAGACAAGATGAGGTTTATTTAATTAAAAAAACTGCTCTGGAGGTTACTGGAAATCACTCTGAAGAAGAAATAGCTTTTGATCATGTCACTTCTAGGGAAGGCGGGAGGGGAAGGGGGATGGTGGAGGCAGGCAGAGTTTTGCATCAAAATAAGACTGTGACTATGAGTAAATAAATAAAATGATAGAGCTGCACCAAATAAACTTATTCCCATGAGGGAACATTTCTGTCTACCTGTTAACATCAAACACAGAAAAAACTAAGCCCCCACTCCAGTTTGGATGTTTCACCACCACATTGCAGGGCTTGGCCTCTAATCTGGGCAAAGTATGAAAGGCAGAAATTGGGTTACTCGCGCCTGCACACACACACACACACACACACACACAAACACACATGCTAATCTGCGGGTTTGTTTGGATGGATCTGAAAAGGAGGCAAACACAACCTAGAAAACAACTCCAAAACTGCAGTATGTTAGTGCTTTAAAAGCTGGCATTTCTGTTTGCCTGCTCTTTGGAAGAAGAACAAGTTTCTGGGGACGATGGCTAACCTGAGCTTTATTACTTTAACATTTAATTGCAGCTTTTCATAATCAGGGGTACCACCATACCAGATCCATTTATGTAAAAGTGAGAAACAATAAAATCCCATCTACATTTGCTCTGCTGAAAATGGACATCTGTTACTAACAATATTATTTCTAATGAAATATTATGTACACAACTGGTTTAATGCAGTGCTGCCGTTTGGGAGAAGTGGCTTTTCATGGGAATAATCCTTGTTCTTCCAGCTCCTGATCGTTATTTTATGGGGATATAATGCATGACAATTTTCAAAGTAACTCATACAGACAATTTGCCCTACCTCTCCCTGGGCTCTTTGAAATGCTGTGCCTGTTCCTAATCAGATCCCTGTACAAGAGGTTACATAATAATTTTCTTTTTCTTTTCTGTTTTATTTTGTTGGGTTTCTTTTAAGCACAAACATCCTTAGAAAAAGCAAAAGCAGAGGCAGAACTGAGCATCAGGGAGAACAACAGGCAGCAAATAGCAATATTCCTGATAATAAACTGTGAAACACAGGGTCTGCCATTGCTAGTCCTATACCTGACACACCGGTGAAAAACAGCTCCACCTAGGGACAAGGTACCTCCATCCTGCAGAAAAGACGGATTTTGGAAAGCATGACCAGGAACAATGGGGAGATCTTACTCTCCTGCAGAGTGGCAAGTAAAGATTCATGCTGCTTAGGATCAGATAGCAAGCCTTCTGCTTTGTGGCTGAAGATAACCTCTGAGCAAAGTAACTTTATCTACAGCAAATTATTCCTTAGCTTCCCATTGCAGGATTTTCTTCACCTTAGTCTCAAGCAAGTGCTGCTGGCTACTATCAGATAGAGGGCTAGAGGGATGTCTGCTTTGATTTAATAGAG